CAGAAAACTATGGGAGGGAACTGATGGGGAAAAAAGTGATTATCTGAGGAAAACAGTGCTGCAAGAAAAATGTAAACCCACTGCTATCCAGTCTGATTTAAGAATCCAGTGCAAGAAAAAAAGTAAATGGGCTTGTTCTGTATCCTTTAAAATTGTTCCATTTATAGCCATTCTTAAAAGGTCTAAGTATAGATTAGTGTGGTTCAGACTTTCACACAAGTAAAGCATTTGCTCTTAATCCTTCACTGTTCAAGGGGGTTTTCTGTTTAGCGCTAATTTGTGAGGGTCCATGTTTTTTAATGCTAGTGCTTGACATATAATTTTAATATCTGAATTGAACATTGAGCTTGTAACCTCTGAGCTGTGCAGACTGATTTTGCTCTTTTTATTCATGGGAAATTTGGTTACAGCTCTTAAGGAATGGGGAGTTACTTCAGTAAGGCCCATTTGATTATTAATCTAGAAAAGTAGGCAGTTAAGAGCTCAGTCTTCATTGTGTCCTCCACATTATAGTCACATTCACAGTATATTTGAAAAAAATTGTACTGTGCTCTTCTGGGGAAATGTTAATTTGTCCATAGAGAAAACATTTAAAATATTAGTATCTCCTTCTAAAGCTGTGTTGACACTAGTTAAAATCAGAATGAAGAGAATTAAACAAAAACACATAGAAATTTATTCACCAAACATGAAAAGTGTATAATTTTATAACCTATAAAACTAGTTTCACTGTATTTTTATTTTAATAAAGATAGTGCTAATTATTGCCATTGCTATGAATGTCTTTTCTATTATTCGGAAACAATTATTGTAATGGAAATAAAGTAATATGATATTTTGTAATTGGTATCTCTCTTCTGTGGAAATCCAGTAATTAATGTAATGAATTTGTAAAGGAGACAAATAGTACCAAATCCCCTAAAACAGCTTTAATCTGATTTTTCAGGTTTTATTTTATTTTAACCTGCCGTCTAAAATCATATAAACTGAACTAACAGGCAGTCACTATAACCAAAAAAAGGCTTTGGTTTGGGATGAACCTGCTTTGTGGAAAAATCCTAATAGAAACCATTCGTGCTAAGGTGATGCATTATAGATTTCTATGTTTTTGAAGTGTGCATCAGAACAGTCACCAAACTGATGAGTTATTTGTCAAGTTAACTGTAAGAATGACAGTGATGTAAATAGTGATGTAAAAGGAAAGGTGGGGTAAGTTAGGAAAGCAATGTAATGTTCCTATATATTTTATTTAGATTTACAGAACCAGAAGGAAAAGAAACAAGAGGCAGCATGAGTTGGTAGCCCAATGATGTGGGCGCTCCCATGGAGGAAGAAAGTCCTAGCTTCTGGTCCTTGCTGCTAGGGTTATTTCTGTTTTTTAACCGATGACTGTCTAATGTAAAATATAGACCTAACCCTGGCAATGGACTGGAACTCTCATCACTAGGCTCCAGATTGGTTTTGGAGGACTTTGTCAGATGTCTGTTGCTAGTAACCAGAATAGAGTCTTAGATCAAATAAACACCGTCTATCTTCTCTTGTTCCATTTTACCAGTTTGTTTGAAGAAGAGATAATGTCATATGTGCCGCCACATGCCTTACTTCATCCCAGTTATTGCCAGTCCCCAAGAGGCTCCCCAGTTTCCTCGCCTCAGAACTCTCCAGGTAAATTTCATTGGTGTTTCAGTAGGTTCTTTAAGGAACAATTTTGAATATTTAATATGGGCCAAATCCTGATCTAAAATTCTTGTTACCTTTACTGAAACGAGGACTTGGCCCTCTGGGAACAAAAATGGTAAAAATTTATGTGTTTGACTTTTTTGACGGTGATTATTTCATTAAAGGAGCATCAGCAACATTTTCCAGCAGTAAGCTGAAATGACCCAGATTGGGTTCAAGGTTGGCCAGCGATAGGACCCAGCTACTGCCACCACTAATGTTTCTACCTGCCTCCCAGCCACAGTGTGGCACTGGTGAAGTTCCCTGCTGGTCAGCCACAGGCTGGTATAGAAAAAGACCCCCATCCATCAAACACCACCAAACCCCCCATTTTGTAGGTCAGATCTAGTGGCTCCATGGGCTAGATCTGACCTGTGAGCTATAAATTGCTAATCCATGCATTATAGTAACAGGTCTGGTTCTGCATATTTCTTAATAGAACTTATTTTGTAAAATATTAAATCATCCCATGAGCTGAGAGCACAGGTAGTGAGATTGAGGACCCACTGTGGTCCAAGAGAGGTAGAAATCATAGAAATATCATAAGCAAATAAAGTGAATATAACATTACTTACTCATCACTTCTGAAGAGCCCCACATGCAGCAGGGGGCCTTGGGGATCACGCCTGCTGGGCAGGATCTGGTGAGTCAGGGTTTTTTTTTCTTTTTTTCTTTTTTTTAAGGGCCAGGAGCTGGGGGCTGGGAAAGTGGGTGGGGTTGGGGAGCTTAAGGCAGAGTCCCCCACGTGGCATGGGGCAGTGGGAGGCAGCAGTGATTGCCCCCCACCCAGCAGCACCCAGTGAATCGGGGCTTTTTTTCCAAGGTGCCAGGAGCTGGGGCCGGACGGGGCTGGGAGAGCAGGTGGGGGATGGGCCTGTGTGATTTGGAGATTCAGTTGATTTGGCAGCAGCTGAATCTCCAAACCAGATTCCGCTGAATCAAATCACTGTCCCCTGAATTGTCTGAATCCGAGGCAAATACTAGCCGCTTTGCACAGGCCTACCAGACCTGTCTTGCTAGAGAGCAGAAGACATTTTTGACCAGCTAAACTATGGCTATTTACAGGTGTCGATTTCTACCAGTAAGTTCTTACTGGTAGAAAAATAGCCCAGGAGCTGGAGTGTACATGCAGAGCTACCCAGACGAGCTCCCCAGCCAGGGGGCATCCTGGGTCATTGCCACTCTTAAGAAAGTCCATTAATTGATAGTCTGTCCTTTTTTCTGCCTGGGAAGGGTACAGGCCATCAAGTGGCAATTAGCAGCTACTGAAAAGCAGCAGCTGCCACAGACAGCCCTGGGAGAGTGCCCCCATCATCCTGCCAATCAGCATTCTGCTGTAATGACAAAGGTCGGAGAGCCTTGCCACAGTGGCACAACAGCCTGTCTTGCCCTGCGCAGATCCAGGCCAGATAGTGGGGCAAGCGAGGGCATTGCAACATGGCAGGAACTCATTCTGGTGAGAGGGTTCCCCTGCAGGAGAATGACCCCCACCCACCAATCTGCTGATTTGTAGTGAAGGAAAATTTTTCAGGGGAGGCTCCTCACAGGGCTCCAGTACAGTTTGCCCCTATGCAAACTACCAGAGAGCCAAGGGAGAACAGAGGACTGTGGGATATCGACTGTTCTTCACACCCAAAAGAAGTATACAGCCATTCAAGCTAGATTGGGAGGAGGGACATCATCTTGGTAAGAATCCAATCTAAATTCTTACAGAAGAGCCAGTTCTGTTCCTCGAAACGCCTCTTGAACAGCCGTACATTCTCTTTTTGTGCAAGGAGAAAAGCTTTTCTTCTGGCACTAATATAACACCCATTCATGGCCTGTGATTCTTTACAAGCTGTAGTGTCTTGGGGCCATGCGAAATGAATTGGTGTTTTCAGTCCAGCTCTGGTAGGTTTCCTCATCATTGCAAGTGGTACTGGCATCCTTATTAGCATTTTGACCAAAAGAACCAAGTTTTGAAACCTTAATTAAGCAAAACATGTAAGCATGTGCTTGATTTTAAGCATGTGAGCGGTCTCATGATTTTGGAGCTTGAATGAGGAGACCTAAATACACCTTAATGCTGAGAGGTGATCCTTTCAGTTTGTGGTGGCTGGCAAGATTGCACTGTTACTTCCCCATGCAGTACAGATTCTGTAGAACAGAAGAGTTGTGACAAGCAAGCAGGTTTGTGAGCATTAACAGTCACTTTAAAAACATTATATAAACCAAAATTAAAAATATAAATTGAAAAAAATCCATTTGTATGCTCATTCTTTTGGGAAAAATAATGGTATATTATTTAGGTAGGTCTTGTCCTAATTTTTGTGAGGGGTAAGAGACATCCAAATAGGTCTGCAAAATTTTTGTTTTCTTTAACTCTCACCTTCCAAATTGAAATGAAATGTTGCATTAGGAGCAAAATTATCTAAGATAAAAATTTCAAAATAAGGTAACATCTGTTTTCCGAAGTGGCTTAGGCATTTAAGAACCCGAAGGCCATTGACAGTCAAGGGACTTATAAAACAAAAAACCTAACCCACTGTAACAGTTCTGAACAGCTTAATGTAATGCATCCAGGCACAGTGGCCTATACCTGCTGTAATTCTCCAGTATTTTATTTTAAATTATAGCACTGTCATAATTTTCTTTGTAAAATATAATACTAATGCTTCTCTCATTATTTAGTTTTGTCTAGCATCGTTATATGCCAGTTTCCTATAGATCAGAGCAACAGTAACAAGGGCCTAATCTCTTAGGTGCATAAAAGCTGCATACATTGGAACTTTATGGAATTGTCTGTTTGGCAGTAAGCAGGATGAATATTTTTCAAATATCTGTTAAAAAGTTGTTAATTCAAATTAAATTGAACTATATCCCCTGTGACGTCCATGTAAATCAATTTGAAGTTCACAAATGTTGCTGGAATTACTTTATTGGAGAATATAGTTATAGAAAAAAATGTGGGGGGGGTTGCCACAGTCTAGTAAATAAGAGGTGTCTTAAAGGTATTTACTAAAATTATACATAAATAAATCAAATAACTTATTTCTGACACCAACCCATGAGGAGGCTTTTATCAAAAAGTTATGTACATTGATCTCCTTTCCTGAGATTAAATAGCCTATGCCCTGTCCTTACAAGCAAGGTAAAACATGAAAGCAAAACCTGTCCTAAATGTCAATAGACTTGAGCTCTGCTGGACCCACTGGGGACATGTCACTGCAAGCATGCCACTACAATTATTCCCCTGCTTAAATTGGAAGGTGTCAATTTAAGGTACTCAGCTGATCTCAACTGCAGAAAGCAGATTTTGAAAGTACCAAGGGCCTAAGCATGTAAGACTTGTAACTGAAAAAGGCAACTTGAAACTGCATATTGAACAAAATGAAAAAAAATTGCAAACACTGAGCATAGTTAGGAAGTTCTCGCTGCAAGAATCTTTTGCTAGTCCGGCAGACTTACATATGCACCAGTGGAATTTTCCAGACAGCTGTCATGGACTGTGATTCATTTCACTCTTAATACATACTTTGTTGCTGTGGAAAGAATGCTACCTCTTTCCACAAGGCCCAGGAGCTGGCAGAGGCATGACAGGTTTATAATAAATTAGGTTCTCTTGAGGCGACTATGACAGGACCTGGCCCTTGAGGCTGGGTGTGGTGCTCCCTTGTGGCCCCACTTGTACTGTTTGCCCCACTCTGGCCTTCCCTGGGTATCACCCTGCTGTCATGCCTTGATAGTGAAATCATTATTCAACTGAGGAGGTGACCCTCAGAGACCAGGTTGAGCTTGGGGTGCTTCACCTGGCCCTGCTCATCACCAGGCTCTTAGCATCTTGAGCAGGGCTCTTTTTATTCTCAGTCCCAGCCAGATCACTCAACACAGTCCCCTTGGTCTGACCCTGCTGGCACAGTCTCTTTGCCCTGGACTCTTGGCCCTACCCTGGTCCCCAGAATTACAGGCGCACCTCTCTAGCCCCATCTGTGGCCTCTTCGGTGGCCTTCTTCCACCCCTTCAGCCGCTTGGATGCCTCATGGCTATGAAGAAAACCTCCAACTAAAATCTCTAACACCTCCGGGTACACTCACAGTGGGAAAACCTTCTGTGATATGGCTAGTGGATTCCCAGTAGCTCCTGAGTATCTCCATCCCTGTAACTGTTGCCCACGCAGCCCTTCAGAGGACTTCCCTCCACCACTCTCATGACTAGAGAGCCCCTGGCCTTGAAGGCAAGCCTGTATACAGGCTAGGTCCACCTGGTCAACTGATCTTGTTTCTGAGCCCAGGCACAGGAGTGCCCTATAATTCCCAATGCAGGCCTGTCTCCCTCCAGCCTACTTCCTAACAAGCAGCCTCACGTTCCTGCTCAGTTTTTCCTAGTTGAATAGCCTCTGCTTTTCCTCTCCACTTCTGTTTCTGACCTGCTTGTCTCTCCCCATCTATTCCCTGCTGCCTATATGGAAGGAGCTCTTCTCCCCATATGGTCCAGAGATGGGCTTCTTGCTTATTTCTAGAAGAGTATTTGTACAGTCTGGGTTCTTGTCTCTGGACTACAAAGGTTCAGTTCATAAAGCGTCCACTCTGTCCTCCCTTGCTCTTCAGTGCTCTAATAGTAACAGGGCCAGGGTTCCACATTACGGGGACCTTCTCATCAGGTTTTGTTATTTTAATTTTCTTTTAATTTCATATATTTCGTAGCTATTAGGGCTGGAAGGGATCTCGAAAGATCATCAAGTCCAGCCCCCTGCCCCAGGGGCAGGAAGTCAGCTAGGTTCAAAGGATCCCAGCAAGATAAGCATCCGAACATTTCTTAAAAGAGTCCAGAGTAGGTGCCTGCACCACCTCTGGAGGGAGTCTATTCCAGGCCTTGGGGGTTCAGATAGTAAAGAAGTTTTTCATAGTACTTAGTACTTAGGGTTGGAAGGAACCTAAACAGATCATCAGGTATGACTCCCTGCCCCC